GTGCTATCCCAGTCCCATGTTCCCATCATGTTTCTGTAATAGCTGTGATATCCCAGTCCCATGTTCCCATCCATGCCCTGAGTCCATCTGCCTCACCTGTCAGGCCTCCTGCATTGAAATAAATAGTTTAATTCATCAGTTTTCCCTCATTGTCTGCCATGCTCTCGCCAGCTTTATCTATTTAATTTGCTCTCTTATCTTCCGTACCAGCCTTAATCTTCTCTCTTGTCTCAATACAGCTCAGGGTCCCACCCCGTCCTGCCTATCTAGTTTAAACCTTCCCGAGTAGCCCTAGCAAATCTTCCCACCAGGATACTGGAGACCCCACCCCCTCAACCTCCCACCGTTCACTTACAACCCATCCCTCTTGTACAGATCCCAATGATCCGAAAATATGAATCCCTGCCCCCTGCACCAACTCCTCAGCCGCTGCCCTCCTATTCCAACAGTCAGTGGCACATGGCACCAGGAGTAATCTGAGATTACTGCCCTTCAGGTTCTGCTTTTAAAGCTGCTGCCTAATTCCCTGTGTTGACTCTGCAGGATCACATTCCTTTCTCTACTGATGGCGTTGGTACCAATGTGTACAATGATCTCTCGTTGCTCACACTCCCCTTTGAGAATGTGCTGCCACTGCTCTGAGATGCCATTGACCCTGGCACCAGGGGGACAGCGTACTGTCCTGGGGTCCCGCTCCCAGCCACAGGAACAATAGTCTGTACCCCTCACTACAGAGTCCCCTGACGTTTGGATGTGCCTTACTCCGTCTTACAGCAGAGCCACAGGCGTTGGGACAGGTATGGCAGCAACAGTTATCTTCAGACAGAGCTATCCTCACCCCCCAGCGTTTGCACATTCCAGCTCGTCACACTCTGAAGTGAGATGGTATTGTTTATGGAGGAAGGGGTCACAGTTTGGAGACTCCCACATCATGGGAAGAGGACATAAGCCCACAGGTGTTAACCTCTGACCTTTTGGTTGATGATGACAGGGTACTCCTTCACTGATGCAGCCCATCGCTGATACACCTCGCTGTTGGCCTGGGGGTCCCTCACGTTGATCAGGCTCAGAGCGGCCACAAAGGCTGGACGGCCCCCCCTGGTCGAAGATAAACCCCGCATCTGCCCAGAGGATCCACCTTCGGAAACGGGAAACGTCACATCGTGTAGGAAAGGCTCAGTTCTGAGGGAGCGCCGCACTGTCGGAGGGTCAGTGCTGAGGGAGTGC